AAAGCAAATGCTAAGGACTGTATACGGGCAGGTATGTAGAAATGTGAAATGTTTACTGTTAATGCACAAACATATATGTGCGTGTGTGTGTACTCTTAGGGTGAGGAGAAAGAAAGGATTGATTTTCTTTAAAGTCATGTTGTATTTAACTAAAAGTACATACGGGTATTATTTCCCGGAGATAGTGCTCTTTGATGAATCTTCTGCAACCTAGTAAAATCAGTTGAGTTAAAGTAGCTGTAAGCTGTATACATGGGTTCGTTACTCTTTTTGAAAGAGCCAACTCTTAAAAGAGGAATCAGCAAACAACCTAGGGTAAAGTTCTGGCTATTGTAATGTTTTTATTTTCCCAATGTACTCTTTATTATGGCCAAAACTTTCTTCAGTGTATCCAGTTAAAAAAAAAAAAAGTTATAGGATGCATTAAAAGTTGGAGAGCTTCTATTTCTTGTCCTCACTGAGCTTGTTTGTTGTCATAAGTTGCATAAGACTGCTTTAAAATTTCAGAGTAAGTCACGACTAGGCACAGTCTCAGTGATTCTTTAATTGCATATACTTTCTTTATTCACTAAATATGTTTTTAAGGCAAAACATATTTTGAATGTTGGGGTTTTTATATGTGTTATTCAGATGCTGTTTCTTATGATATAAACCAACAAAATCCTATTTCCTCCTCATCCCTTCTTATTGAACCATGTTAGTGTAGATCTTGCAAATACAGTAGGAATTGTTTAATGTTTAAAAACACACATAAAACTACATTATTTTTTTTTTCCTGGTTGAAAGTATTAATACATCAGTATTGAGCTGCATAAAATTTTCCACAGTCCTTTGAATGTGTCATGCCTAGGTTGAATGTCAGATTTTTTTTTCTTAAAATTGATGTTTTCTTATTTTGAATTATTCATGAAACATGGTTGTTACAATAGCAGATTATGCTATTGTGTTAGTAGAACAGTTGTGCTTCATTTAATCAGGTGGCTCGTTAGGTGAATTGGTCAAAGCTGGATTCGGTTTCTGTACCTGATTAGGCTTGCTTTTTATCTGCAGAACAGCTTCTTCTATTATAGCAAATTTAAACCATCTGGATATGCTCCTGGATGAACTAATGATTAGTTAAAAAGATACTTAAAGAAAGCCTTTGACTATGTTAGGTTCCTGATTTAACTGCTATATTTGTAGGCTGTGCAGTGATCTGTGTCTCAAATTTGGTTTAATAAGCACATTTGGATTCAGTGAATTAAGTCTTTGAGGAGCTGATACAGCAAAGCTACTTTTTTTTTCAAAATTGTTAGCTTTTTTTGAGAAAACTTTAATCTTTTAGGTAAAGTTAGAAATTTGTTCTTTGTCGCATTCTTGCTGATATCTAGTAGCTTCCTGTATTCACTGGAAGTAGAATCTTTCCTCTTCCTGATGCTTTTAGCAGAGTTATAATGTTTCCTTGCAAGCTTTGTTACCTTCACTTTTCTTGTAATTCTGGCTTTCTTGCTCTTGTAATGTCTACTTGCAGACCAGTGTCTTTCTAAGAGGACTTTCTAGGGTTTAAGTAGGAGTTATATTGATGACAAAATACTGTAGTATTAAGAGCAGAGTTTTACTGCAGGCCTAATTCTATTCTCAAGTTGCTGACAGAATTCCTGTCAATTTTGTTTGCTGAGGATCAAGGTTTATATGTTAGTTTAATCTTCCATAGCAAACAAGAATGTTTGATGCTCTAGAATTCTTCACGAAGGTATAAATTATTATACTTGTCAAAGCTACCTGGGATATTTAAAAATTGTATGTTTTAATTCTTCAGTTTTCAAAAGTCATAAAACATAACTGAATTGCCTCATTTTAAGTGGAGGAGTATGAGAAAAAAATGCTTAAGGTTATATTTACATTTCTTAATTCCTTTGATAAAAATAATTTATTTTGGAAATGGATTAATTTAAAAAAAAATTTGGCCTAAGAAATATACTTCTTTTGTTTTATCTAGTAACATTGATTCTGAGAAATGGACAACAGTATTTGTCAAGTTTATGAAGAAATCCAGTCACTGGAAGAAGAAATTAAATTATTGGCTGAAAAGTATGAAGATAACCAACACGAATCCACTTTTTTTTCTGACGAGGAAATAGTAATGTCAATGTATGCCTTTTTTCACATGTTGGATTAATAGTGTTTCTTTGTCAAAATTGTGTAGGATAAGCTTTTGCCTCTGTGTTGAGGCTTTCTTTTTGTTATTTTACAGTGCTGATTTTGTTTAGGACGTGGGGTTATAGTAAAAGATTACAAATAATATAGTTGATAATTTTACTGGTTTCTGTTGGTACTTCATGGTTTTTGATAATTTTGTTTTGTTTGTCTTTTTTTTTTTCTTCCCTTTTTTTTTTTACAATGGCAATTGTAGTGGTCAGAGCATGATATCAGGTACGTTATTGTGTGGGCCCTGCAAAGTTGTTGACTGCAAAGGCCATGTTTTCCATTATGTGCTGTGGAACATCTCAGTGCATGTTTACTTAAAAAAAAAAAAAAAGGCAAAGGGAAAAATAAGATGGGGACTGGGGACATGTACAGGTGTGACTAGTTATATGCTAAAGAAGTGCCGCATTAGGGCTTTTTATTTACATTATTTAACTGATATTCTATAGTAAATGTACACTCTGTAAATAAAATAAATCATTTCTGTGAGTAAAGGCATCACAGCTCATTTTTGTTGTATATTCCTCAAAATGGATGCTTACATCTCAAGACTTATAATAAAGACTGTGTCTGCCCGGCAGTGAACATAAAGTATTGATGTAAGTTAGAATAGTTTACTGTTCCTAGTAATATGATCCAACTGAAATGTGACTCACTGAAAACTGATCTTGGTCTGAAAATCATCCGATCACATTACAAACGCTTTTTACTTAATGGTATTGCTGTACTGATGTGACAAAACTTTTCTTATGTCTGGGTCTTTTGCCCTTTTTATTTATTTATTTATTTATTTATAATTCTAGAAAATCATTCCAGAGAGAATTTCAGGGAGAATCTCCATCATACCTGAAAGCTGAACTTGAAAGTCTAGAAGCAGATCTCTCATTTTTAACGAAATTTACTGGTATTCAGTTCACAAGTCATTTCAAGAAAACAGTGGAAAAAAGTAAGCATTTTTGTGCCCTTTACTGGTGCTAATACTGTGCATATTGTTTCAGTTCATTACGTTTGCAAATCCATGTTGTAATTCTACTTTAAATGTTAGCAGAAATACAATTACTTTGAAATACAATAGAATTTTCTTTATTGACAAAATAGTTTCTGAGTAAACATGGTATTCATAGTGGGAGAGTGAAAGACCACTGTGAGGTTGTTTTTTGTTTTGAACATGTGTAACTTGACTTTTATTTATATGATGGATGGTATCAGTGGGTACTTTAAATATGACTAATGGAAAAAACACAATCATTATTGAATAGAATTATAATCAAGTATTTTTTTAACTTTATTTTATAACAGCTAGAAACAGAACAGTGCAAAAGCACAGATTATCAGGGAATTGCCACTCCCTGTCTTTTCAATTGGAATTCCAGCTTCTTGAAATGCAGGTAAGGATCAATGTATGTTTAAAAAAAAAAAAAAAAAACCAAACCAAAAGCCACCACCAAAAAAAACAATCAAATGAACAAAAGTTCAAGTGGACAAATGTCAATACTTCCTTTTCCAGCGAAACCTTCAACAGGTGTTTTGTCATTTTGGTTGCCTGAGTCTCCTTAATCAAAACCTTAGTGGTTCACTTTATAACTGCTGGATGCAACTTTTGAATTCCATGCGCATCCAAGCAAAGGTCAGGTTCAACACTCGGTCACAAAATTCTTATCATGTTCTCCTGTAGTCAGATGTCTTGTTCTGGAGACTGGAAAATTCTGAACCTTACTTCTCTTGAGGGAACTGAGGAAAAACTAAAACACTACAAACTTGAACAATTGTGATTTTTTCACTTTGGTTGTATTTCTATTCACTTGGCTAATGTGACTAGCCATTACATCATGGGACTGTGCAGAAGTTACGCTAATGATTACGGATTTTTTTGCAAGGAAGCTCTTTCATAAGAATCTATTCTTAGCACAGAATTCAAAGTGATAAGCAGTGGAAAACAGCTGCTACCCCAATCTGTAATAATATTTTTGACATGAGGAAATTTCCGTCTCAAAACCCCTTGATTTTCAGCTCAGCATTAAAAGGTATTTTTTAAACTGAATGTGATTGAACGTGATAGTATTAAAAAACTGCCTTGCTACATAATGATGTCCTTCCTAATCTTAAGAACAGTGATATTATGAATTTAGGAAATGAGTATTTAGATAGTGACATGTGGATTGCATAATTTGAAACTGCAGGAGTTCAGCTGAATGTGAGGTTATTTTGCAACCTCCTAAGTCCATGCGTGGCTTGAGATCTGTGGTCCTAGTGATACCATTTTGCCATTTCCTTGTATAAAACAGCATTTAGCTTTGAGCATGGAAATAGCCAGCATCAGTCGTGCGACTTGGTTAGATTAATGGTCTTTTTCTCACCTGTATGCTTCTGCAGAATGACATCTTTTAGTGTCAATGAAGCTCAGATAAGTAACTAACTGCATGTTGCTTATTCAAAGCTGCATTGGTGATGCTTAAATCTGTTACACCACTAGATGGCAGCACATGTCTGCGTAATGCCTGTAACTTGTACTTGGACGCTGATGAACTACACTGTTTAGAGAGATATATAGAGTACCAAGTGTATGTATTTAAAAAAAAAAACACTTCAGCTGAAAAAATAGAATTTTAAGTTAATTTTTTGCATTAATTTTTTAAATAAAAGTACATGGCACCTGTAACTTGCAATTTAATATGCAATGCAAATGATGTATCAATTTACCTTAAGTTAATGAATTTTGAATTGCCAATATTTTATGCATTTTTATGGTGTAGGTTGTGAACATGTTGTGGAAAATGGTACATTAGTTGAGCAGACACCAATGAAAAGTACAGTTTTTAATTGTGCCATAATATACAGTTTTGTTTTTTATTTTTTGTGTTACATACTAAAGTCAAGAAGTACACTTACTGTTTCAAACACAGACTAATTTCTGTTCCTTTACTCGGTTTTTGTGTTTGTATATGAACTTGAATGTTATTAAAGATTTTGTTAATTAATTAACAATTAATACATTTAATTAATACATTAAATGTTAATGTATTTTAGTTGTTGTAGCATAACCAGGAAGGATAGGCAGATCTGAGTTCATTCTGACTAGCTTTGAAGGGTTGAGATTGTCTATAGTACTGTAGTATTGGTCACTCACTGCCTGACGTTCTGCATCTCAGCTAGTTCTTTAGTTTTGGCACAGCATCGGACTAGCATGTAGTTTATATTACCAATCTGACTAGTGTTTTGCCAGCTTTGAGTGCAAGCAAGGAAGCTTCCATCTGTTCACCACTGCGCACAGGTGGATGCTTGCAAAGATCAAAATGTGAAAGAAGAAAACAGGTTAATGCAAAAGCACTGTTCATTTATTTTGCCCTCTTGCTGTCCTTAAATATCAGGAGAGGATGTGTACAATTAGCTTGAAATCTGCCATAACAAATCTAAATCTCTTGAGAAAACAATCATTCAAATAAGTGTTGCCGCCTTCTTGAGAGCTTTCTTTTTAAATCTTTTTATTTGACCCTGAGACGGCATCTTAGCATATGTAACCTACTTATTGGAAAACTGGTTTCTTTAGAAGGTAGTGTGTTAGCTTGTGACTTCTAGCAGCTTCTCTACAACTCCATGCACTTATACAGCATTTGCTATAGTCTCCAAGCCATGATTTTAAGCTTTTTTGATTCACTGTTATCTAACCTATTACTCTAGTATGTTCAAGAATGTGTAGAAAAAAGAAATAAATTCTCTTGTGGCTTCATTTCTACTAGATGAACTTATTTTCTCATTTTTTTAATAGGTTGTTAGATATTTTAATCTGGAAATATTTTTTTTTGTTATCATGCGCATATCCCTGAGTAATAGTTATTGTTGTAAAAAGGGGCAAGAATTTGAGGCAAAACTGTATGTTGTAAAATAAAAAAATGACAGGAAAACTAACAGGATTTTTTTTTAAACTTAGGGCAGCATTATTATGGTTCTCAGATGAAGCCTTATATTTGAGTTTTCTGGTATGTGTGGCAGCTAGGAGTTGTGTTGAAAAATTAGAAGAATCTTAAAAAAGTGGAAGTAATGTGACAGGGAGTAGGTGAACCTCTCGTAAGTCTTCCTTTATACATATGTATTCCCTATGCTGACTAGTTCAGGTATTATTCTAAAAGCCTTGTTATATGGATAATACTGATACTGCTGAAATGAAAGAAAATGTCCACACATATAAGCTATAGTTTAAAAAAATGCTATTTTAAGGATTATAGTACTTGGCAGCATTTGCACATATTTTTGTCTTTTATATGCAAATAGATACATTTTTTCCTCCTTGCTAGAGAAATTTCTAAAATACTGTGTTGTTACTTCTCCAATCTAGAACAAAGAGAGTGTGTCTGCTGTTATTACTGATCTCAGCATTATAATGGAATCTGGAGAAGATTCAGATATGAGCAAGTTTGTGTCAAGGTAAGGTGGAGTATTTTAAGGGAAGTTATTGTATGCGATATCTGACACTAAATGCTATACTGAGTTTTCATGTGAGTTGCTGGCAGTCAGTTTCTTTGTTTGGTAAATGTACTGTTAGCCCAACCTAAACGCTTCTGATCCCTTATCTGTATCCTTCTGGAGAGATGATGAAATGCACATAATTTTTTAAGGCCTGAAAGGACCATGATGAACTCAAGTTAAACAGAAACATTTTTTGGATTATAATGTGTTTTACTGTTTGAAATTACGTTGTTATAGCTTTCTCTGAACTAAACAATCTCAGCTATTGCATTTTAATTTATGTAAACAACGCATTAACTGTTACTCAAATGTGTGCAAGTTGCAGATGTGCAATGGGGGTGAGTAATGGCTAAAGTGTACATCCAGAACCCCTCTCCAGTACTTGCCTGTTTCTAATTCTCTGCTCACTGTTCCATTGCTCTTCTTTACATCAGGATTTCTTTCACTGATATTTTAAAAACAATAGAATATAGTTTAAAAACCTGGAATAGTGTGCAACAGCTTAAGAAAATGTACATATTAAACCTTAAGCATATGACTGAATGCTACTTTTTCATTATTTTCTGGAGGATGTCAACTTCTTGTGGTACACAGGGTGAATAATGATCAGACTATTTGTCTGTGGTATTCCACTATGAAATCTGCTAGCAAACTATTCTGAGAACAAATCTATTAATTATTACTGGGTAGTTGACTTAATCTTAATCCTGTTCTTTAAGTGATTTCTTTTGTTTTATATTATTTTTAGGCTTGATGAGGGAGAGGGAAGGCAAATGGGTGGGTAAAAAGAAAGGTCTATTCTACCTCAGGCTTCATTAGTCTCTACCAAGAGCTGAATTTTTCATTTAGAAGCTTTGGAATTTCCATACAAATCTACTAATGCTACTGGTAGAACTAAGAATAGTTGTTGACTGCTCTCAAGAAGCAGGATTTAGTTTTCTCATGAGTATTTCTGACAGCAGAAGTGTCTTGGAACTTAGTAGTTACACTGGAAAGGAATGTGTTGAAGTAGTGGCAGACTTTACTTCATTCTGGCTTGAGCACTGTTGTCTTGTCCCTGTCTCTTCCCTACCCTGGTCCTTTTCCACATTACGCCAGTATTCATAAGTAAACATAAGTTTTCATGAATAATATAAGATGAATTAGGCTTTGCTGTCAATAAAGCAAGCGGTTCTCTCTCCATAGCCTCTATTTGCATGTACCATCTGTTGTCCTTGTGTCAGTATATATACTCTTGAAGCCATGTGGCAAATAGGATCAACATAGTCATTTGGTTGAAAAAGTAGGTTTTTTTAATTTCTTTTTTTGGGGGGTAGAACCACAACCCCTTCAAATTCCCTTTTTCTATTTGACTGCCCTGCAACGTCACAGTGTGTGGTGCTGATCTAAGGCAGTAAATATGTGGCCAGAGTGGGGCTGGTGTTGACAATGTCTGTTTTGACAGCAACCCACTGCTAGATTGACTTAATCTGATTGTGATCTCCTTTATGGCTTGTTTTCTCAATGACCTTGTGAAGCTAGTTCTTGTTTCTTACTGTAAGTCCTACGCCTCTCTTCATGTCCAGATTCAGGCTTTGCCCAACTAGCCCTTTATTCTTCAGTCCACCATCTGCTCTTAGAGTCTTGATTTCTGCCTCCTCCCTCCCTTTCCCTCCATTCTTGACCAGCTAAATCTGGTCTCCTTTTGTATTGTTCGTTCTTTTCAGCCTCCCTACCAGTTTCTGTTTCCTTCTTTTGCCTCCTTGGCTCAGTCTTGCCAAATCCATTGTCTAGCTCCGTTCTGTTTTCTCTACTGGCCTGGATTTTTTCCTCCTCAACTTTCTAATTTTTTTGGCTTCATTTTTCATAATGCTTGACAGAAAAGGGTCTTTAATAGGACCGGAGTTAAAAACTTGGCTTTCAGTTGTAATTCCCAAGTCCATCCTGCTTTGGAAGAAAACAGAGGAATGCTAGAACACTTGAGCAACATGTTTTTAAAAGAAGCAAAATTCAGCAGTTGATTTTTAACCAGGTACTGCTGCAATATATAATATTTATTTTTAGAAGATGTGTACTATTCCTTAAATATGTTGTGGCAATAAAATATGTTTGCAAATAAAATCACAATATTTAGTCTTCTATTTTTGAGTTTTACTTGAATCCTCTTTGTACCAGTTATCACTTATGTCATACTTTATTAGTGTTGAGGACCAGAATAATCTATGAAAAATCTTGTTGCCAGTCTTCTTTTTTCCTTCTTTTTTTTGTTTGATATCTCATTAATTGTTGGGTTAGTTAACTATTGCATAGATTACCTAAATAGGAGGGGGTTTTGATGAGTTTGAAAATTGCTCCAACTTTTTGCTAACTAATTAGAATTTATAAGTCAGTGAAGGATTTATGAAATGTCAGTGTTACCTCGCCCATGCAGTTTTTAATGTATCTTGGAAATGAGGGGAAGCATGAATTCTTCCCACAGCTGTGTCATTCTTTGGTTTTATATGCTAATGCAAGAAGTCTTGCATACTGCAGTGAGTTGAAATAGATTTCCTCTCTTAAAATAACTAAAGGAGAGTATTAAAAGAGCCTTAAATACTCTTACACTGGTTAAGTTCTTACATACTTTTGTGTTTTGATGATGTTATTTTGTAAAAGTGAAAGGGTGTTTGGATGAAGGGCATGTGATTTTAACCTGATACATAGTTACTCTCTGCCCGAATATGTTTTTTGCTGGTTTTGGATGACTTCTCTGTTACATGGATGTTGGCTTTGGAGATGGGTGTTTTCTGCTCCTAGTGGACTATTTTATTTTTTTTTTTAATCCAGTGACATTTTGTAATGCTAAATTCTTTCAAAAGAAAAAAAAAAGGCTTAAATTTCAACATGCATTCTCTTAGTACCTTGTTATTTTATATCACATTTTCTTGGTATTTTAGTGTTTGTTGTAGTTAGCCTAATTCCAAATGCTGAAGCCAACTTAGCCTAATTAGGAGTTATTGTTTCTGGGTAGTTTAAGTGCTATGAGACAGTTAACTGAAATGGTGCCCTTATGCAGTCTTTTTGTCCCTTGCCAATACAAGAAAAGCATGTATATTACATATGTCGGTTCATGCTGACACAGATTTTTCCCCTTTCTAAACACTGAATCCAGTTTTCTATGTGAAACTTAGCCAATGCTATATCTGTACATGAGAGAAGCATATACTCAGATATAATTGGTAGACTAACTTTTACATTTGAAACTGGTTCTTTGAACTTGTAGCCAAAACTATCTCTCTCTGCTTGGTGTTATAGTCTCAAAAATTTTCATCTGCTATATTGCCTAAAGATGAATCTGAGAGGAGAAAAGAAATAAACTGAAGACATAACGCTAAAACAAACTTTGTCATAGTCTTTTAAATTGCATGAAAGTGGATACTGGTCAAAATTGCCAAGTTTTTTAAAAAGAATTTTAAGTATGTAGTTTTGTAACAAAGATTTGTGTTGCCCTCTTCCATGTATGTAGATTTAAAAAGCATATTGCAGTATGTGTAGAATTATGTTCGCTAGACGTCGAGATGTGGGCACTCATTACTAAGTCTCAATTTTTGCTATATTATGTGTAGATTTTTATATGTACAATTATGAGTTGTGGTTAAAAAAGCTGTCCAGAACACAGACCTAGTCAGCTATTGTAAACCAGTATGTCTGTGTCCTTCCAGGGACTCAATTTTGCCTGTGCTGCCAGCATTTTTTTTCATCTTGGCCTAATTTTGTTGGCAGCTGTGACTACTGTGGTAACTTCCTTTAATGATGCTGTTCTTTCCAGGCTAGGATAAAATTTATTTGGCTTTTCTTTTACGTTTTCAATATCTGAATGAACTTCATGTATTTTTTCCAGTTTATGTTTGTGTAACATGTTAGGGGTTGCTGTCTCTCTATATTAAATAGAGCTGGATCTGAGGCACAGTTCTCCCTTGAATGGCTCAAGTGACTTGGTAATAGGCTGTTGCAACCAATCTGTTAGTGGCTTCAAGTTTCTGCTCTCAGCTGTTCTGAAAATCCAAAAAGTATATCTAATCTCAAATAGAAAGGATGTTAAAAGTCAAATTTACATGTAGAATTTAGATCTTCTATAGCTTTCTGAAATATTCCCAAGTGTAAATTAGGTATTTCCCTCAGGTTTTGTAAACTTGTAAAGTCCTCTATTAGTAATTGAAAGAAATCTTTGTATTTTCAAAGCAGCGCTTGCAGGTATGTTTTGACAACGGCTAATAGTCTGTTTCATGTGGCTGTGGCTTCATATCAATAATGACGTGAAGCTGTTTACCCTTTTGATTAAAGGTGATTAAAGAATCATGTTGCTTCAGGTATTCTGACACTTAGCTTTTGTGGAATTTTGCATTCTTTGCATTCTTGCTATGTTTCTTTAGTAAAAACTGCATATCCTTTATAAGTGTTTTTCCTCCCTCCCCCTGACAATACTGGATGGATGGTTGGTTATTTGACAGTTTATGTCATCTTACATTGTCTCCTTTCCTTTCTCTATCTTGATCCTCACATTACTAGCAATTTGAAGAATATGTATTTTTTTTTCTGTTGTGTTTTTCTTAAAAAGAAACCACTCCAAGACAAACTCTTCTTCCCTCCGCCTCAAACTAGCTCCCCACCTATTTTCTCTAATCTGTCTTTAATACAATTATTGCTTGTAACAGTGGAGGGACTGTCTATTTCCTTTTTTGATTAGAGCTGAGAAGATGTATATATGGTTTAATGGTTGCCATCACTGTGTTGTTAACAATAGAGGGTAAAGTCTGTTCAGTTCCTGATTTCTACAAACTCTCTACTTCTGTGATGGCACCTACCTTAAGTGAATAGATCTCTTAATTCCAGTGTTTCTAATCCTAATTGTTCTAAGGCAGGTTTTTGTACGTTACTGATTTCCAGTACCTTGGTTTCCTTTCTTCTATTTTTTCCTGCCTTTCTGGCCTGTCCCAGAGTGAATGTAATGGTGTACTTCAGCTGAAAGTGTTTTGCTTGTGTAAGTCATAGTTAACATACAAACTAACACAGTATTGCTAGGAAGACAAAATAGTAAATATATAATGAACAAAAGTAGCTTTAGTGCCAGTTACTGAAATTGAAAAGCATATCACTTATAATTTCCTAGCAAGTTTCTTTTGTAAACCAAACTTCATGACATAAGGAAAGATACCAGGCCCAGTGTTTGATGTGTTGCAACTTCACTTGTATGCAAAATCATTACTACCTTGTAGACTGATGAAAAATAAGTGATATCTTTTGGTCCAAGTTAGTGCGGTGTATTATTTACTATCAGTTTGATGTTTTGCTATCCTATTCAATAGGAGTAATCATCTCTGCATATCAAGAGCAGTTTTTATTTTCAAAACTGTGCATTTTTCCCATTTGCAAGAATGGATAATTAGGCAGCCATATAGCTTTCCTTGGTTCTATACTTTATGAAGTATTTAGAACTTGTTTGGAAATTACTTCAGCAGTAATTTCATATATATTTTTCAAAATGTGTGTTGTTTCTTTGGGAGTGGGAGCTTCTGTTTGATTCTTTAGATACTGTGAATATTTAATTTTGAAATTACATTGAAGCTTAAATGATTTAACTTGTGCATGTGTGAAACAAATACATGTAGGAAATAAACTTCCGTATGTTTGAAGTGCAAAATCTGTTTGTATTTCTTCTATGTGTTGCTTCTATTTTTAACTTGTCTTTAGCACCAAAGTCCTGGAATTGTAATCTCTTAGGTTTGGCTGGCACTGTTGTTGCCTCTGTTAACTGTTGTTAGTGGAAATGGAAAAATCTTATTATACTAAGTATGGAATTATTGCACATAAACATTTTCACTTGATGCTGTTCAATTACTCTGAAACAGGCAAAGATAAAATTATAGGAACTTTTCTTTATTTCTCTTATGCTTTGTCTCTTGTATTGAAAATTCCTCAGAAATGCCCCAAAGTAAAATGACTTACTGCTGACCTTTCAGTTTTCTGAGGCACTATGGATGAAAAAATAGTATTTGCAATAACATTGCAATTGAATTATTTCCTTGCCAGAATAGCGCTGATATTAATCTCATAATATAGGCTGTGAGCTCTACTGAATCCATACCGGCTAAGTACAAGTCAAGTAAAGGTGTCTCTGGACTCCTCTTTGCAGGATGTCAGGTTCCAAGACAGTGTAGTAGTGCAAGTGTAGGATCATTTGTATGAATAAAGTCATAACGTATCCATGTGTAGCTGAACTGCTAAATCATAAGGAAGCCCAAAACTGCAGAAATACGGAGTGGTGTTCTGCAAGAACCAGCTCAGGTCCGTCTGGGCTTATTGATTTCTGCTTACAATGGGCTCGGCACCAAGATCTCTGCACTCCGCTTCTTAGTTACAAATTTACCTGCATCTCTCTTCCCCCATCCTGCCCCGCTCCCTAACTTTTGAGAATATCGATGTTTTCCTCAATAGCAGATAAATCCAGATTTAACTTTATAGCAAAAGTTTTGTTTTAGATGCCATGTATGATGTAACGAATAGGCCTTCTTGCTTACTGAAGTTTCAGGGTTAATCTTGAGAAGCTGAATGTCATGTGGGCAGAGGTAGATAATGTGTGTTGCAAAGATTTAGTTGAATAGGACAAAGATGTCAGGAATATTTGGTAAATCTTGCCACTTTTGTAAGCTACATATTTACAGTGCAGCATCTTGGAATTTATTTGGAAAACAAGACTATTAGATGAACAAGCATAAAGTCAAACTAAGATTTTACAGGCAACTACTTTGTCAAGTTACCCCATTTTACATATAAGACTAACTTTATTGCTGCTTACCTTCCTGAGGAGTTGAAAACACTGGTTTGTAACTGAATTCTTCATTATTTTTTTTTTCTCAATATCTACACTACACCTTTTTTTTGCTGTTTTGATGCTTTTTTGGGGGGACGTGATTTCTGGCTTCAAAATTGATCAATACCAATCACAAATTCTTTAAGGAAAAAGTGCAAGTTTTAGACAACAGAATTGTCTAAAATTGTCTAATACTCTGACTAGTACTGTTTGGGTTAAACAATATGTTTTTCTTTTGTAGCACTGAAGAACATGGAAATCTTTTAACATTTTTCAGAAGCCTTTCATCTTATGCTGAGTGGTGTGAACATCGTAGATGCACCTTCCTACATTTCAAGGTAGTGTCTATTAAGTCTTTATATATTAGTGCTATCTTTAGTTTGTTAAGACAGGGTGATGGAGGTAAAATTACCACTCTTTAGCGGAGTAGGAGATTCTTAATTTTGCATGCTGTGGAGAAGAGAATATTAGCTAAAGATTTTTGTGTTGGGTTCAAGGGGTAATGCCCTTGCTTGGTATTTGTCTTGTGTTCCTTGTACGTGGGGGAAAATAAGAATATCTGTGCCTTTCTGTGTGGCAGTAAGACAGTTTTTCATTGGTATTACATTTCATTTTGAACAAAGAAAAAACAGGCAAAAGACGAAATTAAAAGAAAATAACATTTGTAGTCTTTGGCATTTAAATGTTAGTTCTGAAGGACTGGATCTGTCTCTCTTGAAAATGTGGCAGCATGTGTTTGGGTGACAGCACTTCCAGTTCTGAAATGTTTTACTTGAATGGGAAATAAACTGTTCCTCACTCTTAACTGGAACATAGTATTTGAACTTGGTTTTAAATTACCATAATCTGGCGTCTTTGTACTGGTTTTAAGATAAACAACTATTCCTTGGAGTAAAAATACTGCAGTCTTACAAACACAGAACAAGAAAGACATCAAGCTGTTGGAGCGAGTCCAGAGGAGGGCCATGAAGCTGATCAGGGGGCTGGAGCACCTCTCCTGTGAGGACAGGCTGAGAGAGTTGGGATTGTTCAGCCTGGAGAAAAGGCAGCTCCGGGGAGATCTAATTGTGGCTTACCAGTACCTGAAGGGGCCTACAGGAAAGATGGTGAGGGACTGTTTATCAGGGAGTGTAGTGACAGGACAAGGGGTAATGGGTTTAAGCTGAAGGAGGGTCGATTTAGATTAGCTGTTAGAAAGAAATTCTTTACTGTTAGAGTGGTGAGGCACTGGCACAGGTTGTCAAGCGAGGTTGTGGCGGCCCCATCCCTGGAAGTGTTTAGGATGGGTCTTTGGGCAAGGTGGTCTAGTGGAGGGTGTCCCTGCCCACAGCAGGGGGGTTGGAACTAGATGATCTGTGAGGTCCCTTCCAACCCAAACCATTCTATGGTTCTATGATCTTATATGATGGTTAATGTTAGAGGAGGTATGGGATTTATTGGTTTTTTTCACAAATGTCAGTTTTGTAGCATGAGTTTTCCCAGTTAACAAGAGTAATGGTGGGATGGATAACTCAGATTAAGCAAAAAAAAGCACTTTAAAATATACATTGATTTGACTGTAAACAGGCTTTCCTAGAAAGCAGAGGCAGATTTAGGCTAGTGTGGGTAGAGCAATGTTCAGTTGTAAACATGTTGTGCTCTGCATTACATACTCCCTGACATTGTGCTTTAGCAGTTGTGCATTTTTGCTGAAACGGGTTAGTCTACAACTTGCACACTTCACACACACAATCAAGAGTTGAGCATATCATTACTACCCTCTGCTGCTGCTCCTCTATTCTACTGAAAATATCTACAAAGTAGTGCTTTAAATAGATTTTGAAGGGGTGAATGGAGTGTTTTTTGCGTGGCATTACTTGCACAGCAGGATTTACTGTATTGCTACAATAAATTTTATGTCTGCAAAATGAATTTACATCTGCAAATAATTTTCTGATCTGGACGCACCCTTAGTCTGCTATGAGGCTGAACAAATGAAGCATGTTGGCATTGCTGGAAGAGCAGATTGTTGAAGCTGATAATGATAAACAAGAAAAAAAAATTCAAGTTTTATTGGAAATACAGAACAGAAATGAGTGATAGGAAAAAATAGAATGGTGTACATTCAGCTTGATATTAGTACTGGCTCACACAGAAGACAAAAAAATCCTTCATACTGAAGCCCTTCTCACTTAAGGTTTTGATGAGTTAACTTGCTATGAATGGGGAAAGTAAATTGTGTCAGATAATTTATTGCCTGCATGAGGTGTTCAGAAGGTACCAGTTGCCCACTTTGATTTGCTCACAAAATATTAAGAGCATTAAGTAGTGTTACAGTTGATATTTAGTACTTTTTCAAAAATATATACAACATTTTAATGTAAAACTAATAACATAGTAGTGGTTAGGTCTTAGAATGTTGATGTGTGTATATATTACATAAATATGCATACATTTGAGTATACATTTAGAATTGTTTTCATAGGAAGAGTTTTGGTGATATTTACTCATCCTATCAATACTGGAAAGAGCTTTATTTTGTAATAATGATTTGTGATGAAACTAAGATCAGAGGCCACCGCTTATGTAACGGTATTACACTTCCAGCTGTGTCTTCTCCATCTTAGGCATTTATCAAAAGAGAGATGAGAGAATTGCTTGCTTTTATTTTTTTTCCTAGTATAAATTTGGCTTGAAGTTGGAATGTATTGTTACATGTTTTGGGATTAGTTTTTACCTTTTGCTAAAAACATGGAAACATCAAGGTTTTATCACATGGGAAAATGAAAACTAAGTATTATTCTCACTGTCAGGCTTGGTTTTGTTCTCCGTTGCATTAAGACAATGGAATTTCTTTTTTGGTATACCAAATAACTTAAAATGGAAAATATTGGGGATTGCTATGTCTTTCTTGGGTAATGGGTTCAGGGAAAAAATATTTTTGTCCTGCATTTCATAATTGCATTTTCTTTCCAGAAAGATGAGCCCACAGTTGATGCTTGACATAGTCACTTAAAAAGGGACTGAAAGTCACTTAGGCCTTTACACTCTTAGTGGCAGAGCATCAGTGTGTTCAGAATTAAGTATGCACTTAATTCCCCATAGCACAAGCACTAACAAATCAAGGCTTAGCTAAAGAAGATAAACAAAACTAAAACACAATATCTTGTAAAAATCAGTATTCTAGATGTAGTGATACATCATCATGCATTTGATGCTTAACTATTTCTACAAATTAGGAATCTATAATAGCTTCAAAATTAACATGAAGTTGATCTGGTAATAGTAACTAGCACACTTTTGACATTCATTTCTCTGAAGAGTTTACGTCTGTGGTAGGTATTTGAGGGGAGAAACTGAAAATGAAATGTCAGAAATGTATAGTTGTATAATTAAAAACATTGCGTCTTGCATCAATTATGTCTAGTTTTAGGTGAACTGACTGTTGAGGCCTGCATACATCAATTTATGTTTTTAATATGCTGCTGTATGGTTTATAGTAGTTGAGTGAAATGATACTAGTTTAATTTGCTTGACGTTAACACTTGTTTTAAATTGATAAAATCAGCTTTTTAATTTAAAGATCTGATTTGGTTTTTCCCTAATGAGTGAAAGTATTGTTGTTCAAGGGTACTTCTGTTTCTTTGCACTGACATCTATCTGAAATCTTACTTATTTACAGCTAAAAACATTAATTCAGCTTTGCTGTTAATTATATTGTCACAATTCCACTGCTTTTTCTTGACAAGGAACAAGGCTTGGTCTACATCATCTGTTAATAATAAAGATACTTAGAGTCATACTGTGCTGTACTTTGACCATTGTATTAAAATAGGAAGCTGATATGGCAGAAATTACTCTTGTGGGTACAGCTGAGCAGAATTTATATATTTCAAGTAAAAATACCATGTGTAAAAATAAAATACATATATAATATATATACACACACACTCTTAGACTATTTTGAAAGCAGAATAGTAGAAGGAGATTTAACACATCTTTGAAAAGTTCCATTTGCTGTGTTGCTTGGTACGCTGAGCCTAAATAGGAATTACTCTCATTTTCCACAAACCAAGTTTTTAAGGAAGCTTTAATGAAGGTAAGCTTTGAGAAGTTCTATTTCTGAACATAACTTTCTTTTGTATGCAACTTCATCCAATACACTTTTGAAGGTCAACTGAAAAGGTTTCGTTTCAGATTAAAGAAGTGGTATTGGAATTAAGACGTATTTTTCCTCTGTAGCTTGCTCAAAGAATGTTTTGCATTTATCTGAAATTAATGTGTAGTGATTGTTCTGGGTACTGGTAAAGAATGTGATTTTTACCTACACATAAAGAATGTGTGGTAAAATGAAAGTTGTGAAGATATGTGTGTGCATATAAGTATTTTTACACTTCTATTAACGGAAAAGATTTTGAAAGCATGGGTGACATTGTAACTCTAAATTAAGCGGTTGTTTTGAAATAGTTATTTTGGAGGAGAACCACATTTCAAAATAAAAGGTTCTGGGTATGCAGGGAAAACGGCATTGGTAAGGGAGAGGATATAAACATGTAAACAGAGGAAAAAGAATGATCATTTGTTACCATGTTTAAGTTTTGTCATGTGTAATTACGTAAGTAGTGGCTAGTAGTATGTTCCTACAGGCAGCGTTCTCAAGCAGGAAAAAGCGTTAACGTGCTTTGCCAAGAGGATCGGGTTGCCTTCCATCCTTATCTCATCCATACTCGTGCGAATGTAACGTGTGTTGTTAGATTTGCAGAATGTGTCATCGGTGATTGTAGTAATATTGTTGTACTGCAAAACAAAACAATTTTTATAGATAAACACACACACACACATACACACTCCCCCCTATATGTTCAGGAATTTTCAAACTTTCATTCCTCTTACCCTGCCATTTTATTGTCATTGGGATTGATTTGTGTATGCTATAGATATGTAGGAATCAAGAATCTTCAAACTAACAATGAGCTGATAAACAATCTGAGGTTGTTACTGATGTTTGAAATGTATGATTGGTAAAAGATTATTGCTTATTTTTACCCCTTCCTGTCCTTGATGTACAGAAAATAATGAGAAATTCTTGCATGGTAATTAGTTAACGAACAACTTCTGATCTTCTGTATTGTTGTGGCCATACAGATTAGAGGTAAATTATTTTATTTGGAGAAGCATTAGACAACTGTAGCACAACTGCAGTGTGAACTGTTTTAAAAGACAGGAGGTTTTGTTTGAAGTATGTAACTAAAGAAATTCTTTGTAATAGAATGTTAAGGCAATGCTTCAAAAATACCTGAAGGTGAAGAATACGCAGACTTTCCGGTAAGTTAAGGGGAACAGATTCCAGTGCGTTATG